ATAGGTAAACATCAGTTAACTCGTAGTGGGATTCCATATGAATGAGCTCTAATTCTTAGGCACATTTAATTGGGTATTGAGTGATTGCAATAATAAATCCTTAAAAATTTCCTTGGATTTACACTGATCTGTCAGTTGTATGTTGTCAAATGTGTAGTGTTCTTTCAAAGAACTTCCTAAATTTACAGTAACAACTGTTATAAACTGAAAAAAACTGCTATATCATCTTCTAGTTCTTTCCTAAAAATCTAATAAATGAGTCAATATATTTACTCTTTCATTATTATTCATATTAAATGACAAAGTTTGCTTTCCCAGCTGGGTTGTGAAAATTTTACTGATTATCCTCCAGACATTACATTATTTCTGACCATTGTCTGGCCATCATACCAAAATAAAAAATTCAACAAGAAAATATGCACAAAAAAACAGTGATACAGACACTGACATGCTGGCCTCATGTCTTTGTCCCAGTGGTCAAACTATCCCCAGGATGGAGTACACAGAGGATGAAAAGGCCACATGGGGCACAGTGTTCAAGGAACTCAAGAGTCTGTACCCAACTCACGCCTGCCGTGAGCACAACCGGGTCTTCCCCCTGCTGGAGAAATACTGTGGCTACAGGCCGGACAACATCCCACAGCTGGAAGACGTGTCTCGCTTCCTGCAGTGTAGGTTCTGTCATGTTGTTTGCACCTCATGTAACTGGTATCCCAAACATATCTGTTAATAAATGCTCTTTGGTGAAGCACAAAATTTCAGGTAACCATCATCACCCCGTTGACTTGTAAAAGCTGATAGTTTGAACTCCATTGCTTACAATAAAAATAAAAATATAATAATAATGCAACTTTTTCTTGGAAACGTGACCCTTTTCTCCTAAATATTGAACTTAATTTTCTAAATATTACAACTTTTCTCATAATATTGCAATGTTTCTTTAAAAATTTTGACATCATTCTTGAAATGTTGTTATTTTTATTATGTAAACATAAACAATATACTATTAAACATTAGATTTTATTTTAATGGTAAAGTAGAAAGTTATAAAATGAATTATTTCTGTTCTTTTTACTCGAGTCATCAGCATCAAAGAGTTTTAAACATCTCCTTCCTTTCATTTTGCCCTACTTCCTATTCCTCCCTCCCTCCCTCTTTCCCCACTGTTATTGAGCAGAATTAAACACTCACCCTCTTTCATCTGTCCGTCCTTCCCCTGCAGCATGCACAGGTTTCCGGCTTCGCCCGGTGGCTGGCCTGCTCTCGTCTCGGGACTTCCTGGCGGGACTTGCCTTCCGTGTCTTCCATTCCACCCAGTACATCCGTCACAGCTCCAAGCCCACGTACACACCTGAGCCGTGAGTGTTGAATGCATAAACTCAGTTTATGGGGAAAAAAAACTAAATTGTATGTCAAAGTGTAATTTGTCTGCCTGATATAGGGACATCTGCCATGAGCTCCTGGGGCATGTTCCGTTGTTTGCTGACCCAAGTTTTGCCCAGTTCTCACAGGTAATCGTGTCCAGGCAGAGGAGAAGAAATGAAATACTCCCTTTAATTGGTCCTCAAAAATCAATTAGTCTTCTATAGGCACTGCAGCCATGTTGGTATTAGAATTATATATTTCATATTAGGTTTATTTTCACATTCAACTTTGATTATTTTTTTAAATATATTTTCTACTTATCTGTATAACTTTGGTTTATTTGATGCAGTTGCAACATCTAATTTGGGAAGCGTTAACCTTATCCTTAATGTCTATGTAACACATCGTTCGGTACTTACCATCTATTTGCTTTGACTCTGCTCTGTATAGGAAATTGGACTTGCCACCCTTGGTGCCCCTGATGAGTACGTTGAGAAACTAGCTACTGTGAGTACTGTGCACAAGAGAAATAATAATGTTGTATCAACACTTTCTAATTCTGGCACACTTGCTTTCAAATTTACAATTTCTTCTAATTTTTCTTATTTGATGTATTCAAAGTATCTTGGCAGACACTTTATTTTTCTTGTTTTGTGGAGTATCCAGAGTAACAGAGCATTGTTCTTTAAATGTACAGTAACTCACTAATGCTTCAAGCACCACAAATGAAACTCCATTTACCTCTATAACACTGGGGCAGAGCCGTAATCTCAGGAACAGATACAGTACGTACATCAAAATCTGGACACAGACAAAAACTAAATTCACAGCAAGGCAGCACTGTGACATAATATAACTGACAACATATGTTTTCTTTTATTTGGATGATAAATCTTGTGAATGCTCTCTGGGATTTTGGATTCTAGAAGAGCCTGTTGACCTGCTCTGGGTACAACACACTTGATTCATGAGTTCTTGCAAGGATTTGCTATATAAATTGTATTTATGCATGTCCTCAGGTCTACTGGTTCACTGTGGAGTTTGGCCTATGTAAGCAGGGCTCAGAGATCAAAGCTTATGGTGCTGGCTTGCTTTCATCATTTGGAGAGCTGCAGGTAAGAGAAGGGCGTGGGCAGCAATGTGAGTGTTATCACAGGCTCAGCTTGCCTACCTCCTGCTGACCCCCCATCTGTTGTTATAACACACCCACCATGTTATGTAACTGTAGGGGTGCAGGCAATGGGTTAGCGGTCCGCTCAGAGCCAGGTTTAATGTGTTAGCAGGGGAGTCAGCCTGCCTGCCCAGCAGGGTGTGGGTGAAGTGGTTCACTGGGTAAGTAAGAGCAGAGGGAGAAAGAGCAACTCGCTGGCAAGGTCACAAGTTACATCAGCTGCTTTTGGCAGAGGATGTGCACTATGTCAAGTAACATCAAGAGAAAAGCTGAGCCCTGAGCCATGCTGCACTTCCAGTTTACTGACGGCCATGGTGGGAATATAGATGCTCACTGAGAAACGGCGTTGCAGATATCTTTTTTTACACTGTTGCCTTTCAGTACTGCTTGACAGACAAGCCCAAACTCCAGCCCTTTGATCCTGACAAGACCAGCCTCCAGAAATACCCGATCACAGAGTACCAGCCTGTTTACTTTGTGGCTGAGAGCTTTGAAGATGCCCAGGAGAAAGTGAGGTATGAAATTGTTTTTTGAGTGTACATGTACAGTATACAATATTTTTGTTCACATGTTGAACTTGTTGACTTGTCTATAGGAAATTTGCAGCCACTATCCCAAGACCTTTCACCGTGCGTTACAACCCCTACACCCAGAGTATTGATGTGCTGGACAACACCCAGCAGCTCAGGAGCTTGGCTGACAGTATCAGTAGTACGTATCAACTAATGCTTGCAGTATTATAAGAATATGAAGCTGTTCCTTCACTGGGCTGAAGGACAGAATAGGGTGGAGACAAAACATAAACAGCACTATGGAAAAACAGTAATATTACTTGTACATCCCCTTACTTCAGGTGGCGGTGTGTGTGTGTGTGTGTGTGTGTGTGTGTGAGAGAGAGAGAGAGGGAGAGAGAGTGAGAGAGAGAGAGAGAGAATGGGTGAATCAGTATTGCACTTTGCCCAGGTATGGTAGAAAAGCACTATATACTTGCAGTCCATTTACCATTTAGTCTGGTACATTACTGTTACATGGTAGGCAGGCAGATGCAAGTCACGCAATGTGGTTAAGGAATCAATCTCCTGCTCCTCATCTCATAATCTGTGTAGTTATTACTCACTTATTTTATATATGGCCTTTAATATTTCCCCTTAGCTTAATAAGCCTAATATTATATTTCATAAAAGTGTAATAATGCCCTTTGAAATTAGAAGAGGCATCCTTAAAAATATATAAAAGAATATATAATATATAATTTTGCATAATATTAAATTATTGCATAAGATTTATTTCTGCTTTCCTGTCCTTTTGATCTTGACCATGTGAGTTGATGGAGACTGTTGACTTAAAAGCATCACACACATGTTGTGTAGTACCTTATGACATGATTGGCACCAAATGAAAAATTGGGCTATTTTTGTCCAATCACCTTATTAAATTTCATTGGTGTTGTTCCTCATTTGGCATAGAAATGAAGCAAAGAATTAGGCTCCTCTGAATCATAAAAACCTAAAGTTGAAGCTAAATGTCTTTTGTTTGATTACATTTGTCTCTTTTTTTCAGATGAACTGGGGAAACTGTGTGAAGCCCTGCGGAAACTGCAGTAATTGCACATGTGATCTGAGCCAAAGCCTGACAATCTCTGTTTCTCTAATTTATTAGCCCACTGAAGTCTTGCTGTTATTCCTAGCATGCTTGCAAATTAGTCGAATAATGACAATATTACTGTACTCCAATTAGAAGGAACTTTCTCCTTGTCTATTTGAGTTTAGTGAATAAAGTGTAGCCTGTTGGTAATGAAGGATAATAAGGAATGTGTCTGTGACAGCTAAAAATGGTACTGTCAATATGATTTCACAATAAATGTTGACATTTTTAAAATCTTAAAATAAGAGGGTTTTTTAATCAATGTCTCTTTAGTGACTTTAATGAATTTAAAACCTGATATGCAAACCTTTAATTTTATTTCTAATATGATATAAACCACTGATTTTTTTCTGTGCATTTCAAAGTTAAAAGCACTTGAACAGATAAATTGTATCATTATAGATTTAATTTTGAAGTAAATAAATATTTTTTTCCTCTTGGACTTTCTCCTCTGGTTCTGACTGCAGTATATCTACTAACACTCTAATACAAAGTAGTGGGTTTTCACTTACTCAAGTACTACACCTACACCCAGAGTATTGATGTGCTGGACAACACTCAGCAGCTCAGGAACTTGGCTGACAGTATCAGTAGTACGTATCAACTAATCTTTGCAGTATTAGTTATAAGAATTACAGAATTATTACAGTAATTACAGAAATTTCCCCACTGTGGGATCAATAAAGTACCTACTCTACTGTAAAATTTTAAAATACTTACTTTACTTCTGTTTTATGCTACTTTATACTACTATACCACCCTTCACCACATTTCAGAGGAAAATCTTTTACTTTTTAGTCTACTTTTGTAACTGTTATCCAACAATATACAGTTAAAAGTAGCTTCACCTCCACTGTTCACAGTATCAAAGAGCTGCTTCTGTTGCACCAGTAATAATGATCCAAGAATATAATAATACTGACACAGCAACCATACGTTTACTTTGGACATTGTGAGTACATTTTGTTGCTAATATCCACTAAAGTAAATTATGTGCTTAAAAACAAGGTTTCACGGTATTACACATTTACTATTATTGTCAGCTACAAGGACCCTCAGAAACACGAAAATAACACTCATCAGGTTGATGTGGCTGGTGACTGGTTGTCGGAGACATAGAGCTCCAGAGCTGGGGCAACCTGCAGAAAGGTACAGGGAGAGAGAGAGGACACACTACGGGAGAGAGGAGACACAAAGTTAGTGATGTGTAAAGGTGGCATATAGAGGCGAGGCGAGGAGAGAAACTCAGAGCATCATGGGCCCCCCAGCAGCCTAGCTTAGGGAAGGCTCAGGGTCACCTGATCCAGCCCTAACTATAGGCTTTATCAAAAAGGAACGTCTTAAGTCTAATCTTAAAGGTAGAGAGGGTGTCTGCCTCCCGAACTGAGACTGGGAGTTGGTTCCACAGGAGAGGAGCTTGATAGCTAAAGGCTCTGCCTCCCATTCTGCTTCTGTGGACTCTAGGAACCACAAGTAAACCTGCACTCTGAGAGCGAAGTGCTCTGTTAGGATGATAAGGCTCTACGAGGTCTTTAAGATACGATGGAGCCTTGTCATTAAGGGCTTTGTATGTTAGGAGAAGGATTTTAAATTCTATTCTGAATTTTACAG